CCCCAAAACCCCAAAACCCCAAAACCCCAAAACCCCAAATTACTCAATCTTAGTTGATATTATTAAATGGAAAATAAAATAGATCCTGCTAAAAGTAACCTTGCCAGACATTTTGCATGGAAGGAAAGAGTCAAGAAGGAGCAGAACTCTGTGTATACTTCTCTTCAGAAGTGCATTTCATTGAAGATTTTGAAGCAACTGCCTTTGAAAGAAGAAGAGGTACTAGATATTCCTTCGGAGTCTAAAGCGGACCCTTACAAACTGCTTTCTACACTAAAAGAGTCCACGATTAAGGAAGGACTTTCTCCTTTACGTCAATCTTTAAATAATCATCGTCTTCAGCCTGATGATCATCCTCATAGTCAGGTTTCCCCAAACTCTCCTTCAAAAACTTTACCGAAGATTCCTCGTCTTAGCTCAAACGAGACAACTCCTTACAGTGAGTTTATCATTGGAAGCCAGTCGAAAATGAACAGAGAAGTCCCGCTCTTAAATGAGCGTACTTCTGGAACCTATTACAAACCGCAGAAGAAGCAGTACTACGGAACTGAGAAGAAGAATTACATGGATGAGAACATCAACCTCCAGCAGCCAAGATTCACTTATCTGAACCTCAAGAACAAATAAAAAGATAACCGACCTGAAACCAACTCAGAAACCTTTGCCTAATATCCGTAAATCCATGGATAACTTGCACCAACTGGGACTTGAGCAACCTCCGAAATCACCGACCCCTCCACAGGTATATTTCTTAGTGAAAGCATTGAAAATTGCTAATCTTCGCTTAAGCCAATACTTAAGGACTTCAAGAAAAATTGAAGAAAAGTGATTTAAATAGTTTTAGCAAAATGTTATAGGTGTAGGAATTCTGGACTTGGCTATACCTTGTATGCTTACCTTTGAATAAGTAGTTCCCAAGAGTAATTCACAGGAAATCATTCGCCAAGGATCCTCCTATTTCTTGTGTCCTTACATTTGGATTCTTTATTTAAATGCAAATTTGAACTTGTTTGTAAGATTCAAGAAATTTTGTTAGAAATATTTGGATAAATCATTATAAGCCTTGGTTACCAATAAACCTTATAGAAGTTTGTCCCAAAACAGGCAACAGCAAGCCCAAGCTTAGGGTTCAAGCCTAAAAGACTCTTGCATCCAAGTAGGTTGAGTAGTAATGGTCTCTACCTAACACAGAATGTTAGTTGTGGCCTAGACTTAAAAGAATCCCAACAAAGAGCACTCCAGAAGATGAGAAAGAGAAGGAATAGATCACAGTTATAATTAATTGTTGAATAAATTGCTTAAAGCTTGCTTCCAAAACAATGAATTTCGGAACTTTTTGAGGGTAGCCAATGGTATTCATTCCCAATTTATGCTACATCCTCTTTATTGGATGCACTGAACTTAATAGTCACCTTAAGAATGATTTAAGTCAAATGGTAGAGCTGTTTTGGAAAATATATGGAGCTAAATTTCTACCATCTATTTCCCCTTATACTAGCCTGATAATAAAAGAGTTATCCTCCATTTTCAATATTGGGGTAAAGATAGGGGTTTTGGGGTTTTGGGGTTTTGGGG